ATTACTTTTAATGCTATAAATACAGTCTGGGAACATGCAGATTAGTTATTTTTAGAAGTGAAGCACATTTGTCAGTAATATAAGTCTGGGTATTGAATTTCTTTTGGCTTGTACATCACAATCCACAATAAATCGTCTGCAACTAATATGAACAAAAAGGTTCTTTTGATGTTTGAGTCAGAAAAAATCCACAGATGTCTGTCCTCCTTTCTAAAGTATTTGATCACATGCAAATGAACAGCAGATAATCTACAAATAATAAAATAGAGCCTGGATATGAAACAAAAGGTTTTCTTCCTGTCACACATTCTAGCTGAACATAAGCACTTCTATAAAAAAATAAAAAACATAATTTTGAAAAACTGCAGCTAAAGAGAATAGTGAAAACGAAAAAAAAAAAAAAGAGAGCACACTGCAAGAATCTTGTTGTGACGGAAATGAAAATAAATCCTTTAAATACTGCCACGCTCTGAGTTTAATGATGCAATAAAATTGTCAAGATCAGAAATAGGATTCTGGCGTGGTGAAATTTAAAATCAGAGTAGGCATTAATTAGAAGCATACGCAAGCTTTTTTATTTCTTGTACAACATAATGAACAGACTACAATCTTGCAAAGTCTTGAGTGTGTGGAAACCACCGTGCCCCATTTGAGACAAAAGAGGACGCCGGGGGGTCGCTGGCCTGGCCTGCGCACGACTTGCCCAAGTGCAGCTGAGATATTTGCAAATCCATCCTCGTGATGCCAAGGAACACCTCCCATTAGAAAAAAAAGAGATCCTAGAACAGCTCTTTGGAATTTTAAACCACACTTGTTTAGCATAACTACAGAAAATAATCCTCTTTTAAGTTATACTTCTTTGGTGAAGCCAAGCTCTTTCTATTCTAAGAATATATTCCCTTAGCTAGAAAAACACAGGAAGCAGAATGAGAGAGATCCTTTATCATCTTCCTTCAAAGCTGAGTACGTTTTTAAATGTGAGATTATCATGCTTTAGTTTGATCACCGTAAGATGATTTGACCATATGCTAATGAAAAATACAGCAGCAGACATTCAAGACTGTTAAAGCAATGAGAGTTGATCACAAGAGTGCAATGATGTCAGTACAGCTGACAGTACTTTGTTTTAAGGACATTAAATTATACTAACAGGCCTTGCGAAGGCTTCAGGACAGGAGGCAGATGATGGGTTTTAGACAAGCACTCAAACTAAACCTCAAATTTGTGAAATCTACTTATAACAGCTAAAAGCATATAAGCAAAGGGAAAACCACTTGCAATTATTCAGAAGTGAAACTATTTTAAATTTTGCCTTTTCAAAGCACAGAGGAATTAATTCAACAATTTTGGAATTAAGCCTTAGAATTAAGTTAATTTTTATTAAGAAGAAATAGAAAAAAAATCCTTAAGCTATGATATGTCTGTGACAGGTAGTACAAACAATGCTGCATGGTCACAGTTTTGCTAGAAAGGGGATTGGGGCTGAGGAGTGAAAAGCTGTTTGGAAAATGAGTTACAAAATACATTTAAAGTGATTTACAAACAACTCTGAAGTAAAAGCATAAATTAGACAAACTGGGTCAACCAAAAATATTTCCTTATTGACATGCAAATTTTTATGTTAAGATACTAAAAAAAACAGAATCAAACGCCGAGTCATCATCTTTGATACAAGAACAGGCAGCAACTGGAGATTGACAGAGTATAATTCTAACCCTGAGAAACTGAAGATGAATGGGTTGGCTAATTTCTGCACTAAGAAAACAGTCCTGGTTAATTTGTTCTGGTTAGTATAACAGCCTTTCTTAGTTTCAAAGGGAAAATAATTAAAAAAAAAACTGTCAACATTTCAGGAATATTAATACTAGTTTTTTTCCTCCCCTAATTTCCTCAGTATTTTTGCCTTTGGCTTGTGTGATCTTGTGTGGAATATATATACGTATATATATATATATATATATATACACACACACACACATATATATATATATACACAAAAGAGTCAGAAAAGGTACTACCTTAGATAGATTTTATAGGTTTAATATTAAAGGTCTATCAAAGTGACAGAACTAAAGCAGGTATATTTCACAGAATATACTTGAATCTTTTGATTAAAACAGAAATTTGTGGAGTTTTATATTAAGTTTAATATATAATACAGCAGTCTGAATATTCACTCACTAAAAATAACGAAAAATATCAAACAGCCACAGAGAGTTACAAATCTAATCCCTGAATTCTAAATGAAATAAATAGAAAAGGAGGAAGAAAAATACAAATCAAAAAAAAAATCCACAAACAAACATATTTTTGTATATTCCCTTAGGGGAACATGATCATAAAATAGTGTAAAAAACACACACCTGATATCTGTTTGCAAATTGCATTAAAATATATCCTTCTGGTCATGAAGTCAACCTTTCATACACAAAGGCAACCATTTTGGTAATGTATTTATGCTATGCTCTATATAAAATTATTGTAAATGTAGAACTGTGAAAGAAACTGGGAAACAACTAATGGAATATTACGCATAACTGTAGAAACAGCACAGAAATATTTTAATACACCCATTGATTTAAGCAAAAGCATTCTCAAATGTAATCATTAAGTGAATGGGTGAATGAACAAATATTCCAGTACACAGTAAAAATGGGTTTGCATTGTGGGTGAGATTTTCCTTTGGAATCACTGGCCTGGCAGTTATTACTATTGCAAAATTAACAAGAACATACATTTTTTTCCATCATCCAGTAGAATGTAAAATTAGGAAGCATCAGAAAATCATGCCATGCCAGACACTTTAGAGGCATCTTCCTAAACAGAAAATACTTTAAGGCAAATGTGTTGTGTGATATTCCATTCTTCCACATACTGTTATCTAATTGTTTCAACTTCCTTGGAAACTCAATTGAAACTTGCATAACTTCATTAAAAATTACCACACACACACACATAACTACTGGGAAAAATAATAACTACTGGGAATAATAACTGGGAAAACACAAACCATGGAAGAGCAATGACTTGGATAGCTCGCTACTCATTAAAAAAAAAAGCTTGTCATGTAGGTGCTTGTCAGTTTAGTTCACAGAGCTTCAGAACACAAGAACATAGAAATGACAGTTTTTATATTGTTCTTCCCCCTCTGAATATCAGATTAGAGCTTTTTTTCTCATACTGCCATTACAAAGATTTGATCTGGCATCATACGCCTTATGTATATTCCAGATAGTAAAAGAATCTCTTGCTCTTTCCTTCCTCTAGCAATTTCAGCTTGCATTCTATGTCTAGATTAATTGGCACTTTCTAGTAGTGAAATGATTACATGAATTATACAGTTCTCAGTTAAAGCAAATACCAGTTATTCATATGGAAGCCAATGGTCAATAATTATAAAAACTCTTGCATCTTTTCTATATAAGTCTCTGGTGAGATAACTGTATTAAGAATTCTCCATAATCCTCTATGTCCCTTGCTAATTGTGTTATCCTGAATATGAAGCAATTTTGATTCCTCTGTGAATGTGGAAAAAATAATCAGATAAAGAATTGTTTATTTCCGGCAATGCTGCACCTACCTGACAAGTGTGTCACCGGAAAGGCTTTAAGGTGTTCTCGGTCAACAGAAAGGCCTGTGTTTACAAAACCTTTGGTGATCTGCCCAAACGGAGCTCTGCTCTGCCCCAAGACTACAGCATATAAGCAAACCAGAGCAACTGCAACAGTCAGTTTTACCCCAGAAAGCTGCCCACCATTATCTTTTATAAGCATCACCAGGCAAAGAATCCCATGTCACAAAAATGTGACTTCCACCACCTGAGATTCAGTAGGGAACCTTCTAGGTCTCGGTGTGGTATCTGCTGAACTTCCCTACCAATGTCAGATTATCAGTACTGAACGAGTCTAACGTTCCCTCCAACACGACAGGCAGTGTGCCACAGCTCTGCTGTTTGTACACTGCAGACACCACTGAGGCACCACACAGGCTCTGATGAGCACACATGACAGTGTTTCAGTGACTCTTTCTAATTTAGCCATTGTGCGTTCCTTTACGATAACCAAATACTTTTTCTCTGGTTAAATTTATTTTAAAGAAGAAACTTTTTAAATCGAATAGATTTCAACTTGAAAATTGTAAGGGGTATTTCTCCATCCACTTCTTGAGACAGAAATTGTACCAAAGAACCTGTGTAAAGGATGTATCTCCCCTGAACATAGCAACTGTATTTTACAGGGTGGCCACAGAGGCTCAGGTTTTTGAAAGCTTTGCTAATTGCCTCAGTTTGAACTGTCTTCCTTGGGGCAGCATCTTGGATGAGGTCTGTGGCAGTAGTAATTAATGTACCAAAATACGGGACAAAACATTGCATACTTTCTAACGAGGACCAAATATGCCTTTTTTCTTGGAACATGAAGTCATGGGCCTTTTTTTTTTTGCTAGCAAGTTTATATTGAGAACTATTTTCTCATAAGGTAATAATCACTGTATCCTTTGCCAGCTTTTTTAGTGATAATAGAACATCTCTGAGCCTCCACAGATTATGTCTGAGCCCCCACAGTCTCAGCTAGGAGAATTCAGCAAGACATTGAGCAGGAGACCTTAGAAGACAACCAACCAATGTCTGGAAGATGGTACTTTTCCATGAAGACTGAGAAGCACCTTCAGCAGTTTCCAAAGGCAGCTTACGGACAAATATGATCTTAGTATGACAAATTTGAGAAGAACACCGATTCCTTTAATACTGACATATAAGGGCAGAAGAGACCTCTGTACATAGCTTACAAATACTACAAACTGAAATTGTCTTATATCACAAATATGTTTATTCTATTACCTTCTTGAACTAAGGGTTTGAAAATATCCAGAATGACAATAGAAACACTAAGAACCTAACTAAAGAACTAAAGAAACTACGTACCTTTTCCAGGAGGTAACCGATGACCAGAAAGCCTTTCCCACCCAGCATTTGTTCCTGCATGGCTACGGAACTCTTCAGAAGCTCCACCAAGAAAGCCAACAGGGTGGCACTGCAAGGAAATAACAGGCATTTATCCATTAGAAATGTACAAGGATCAGTCTGTTACTTTCTCAATATTCAACAGATATTAACTGACCAGAAACAGGCTTAAAAGGGTGAACAAACTTAAAAAACCAAAAATCTTACATTTGCTTTTGATGAATTTCTCCAATGATTGTTCATATATTACAATCCTAGGAGTGAGAGTTTCTTATTCAAATGGAAGTGGAAGATCATTTTATGAGTCCTCCTGATTTGACTAGAACTGTCCCAAATTTTAATTATCCAGTCCTGCAACTCACAGTTCTAGCCAAAGCTTTTGCAGTTGGAAGAGGTAGGAGATGAAGAATGGGATCCACCTGGCAGTGCTAGAATGATGCAGGCAGGGACCTTGTCAACTATTCTTCCCTTCCAGAGAAAGGTAGTATGCTAAACAGCAAAACTTGTAGCCACTAGGTACAACAGCATTCCACACTTTCAATCCGTAGAGTCACTACCCCCACCAAAATGAGGAATAAAATGGTTGATCATGTGGGCAGCAATGCCCTTCACAGACCACAGCGAAACAGCAGCGTAGAGAGCCTCCTCCTC